AAAAAAAAAAAAAAAAAAAAAAAAAAAAAATACATAGATGAAGTACATTTAAATTTTAAACGCGTTTCAAAACTTTTTGAGGTAACAAAAGTGCTTAAGTTCGAGTACTGTAGTTACTTGTCCTTAACATAATCAAGAAGATGATTGATTAATTAACTCACCTTATAATGGAAGTCTTCGTAAGTGAGTGTAAAATTGGATAACTTGGTATCGTTCACAGGGAGCTCGTTGTAAGCATACGCGTGAGTTGAGAAGTCGGTGCCGCCGATAGGGACGCGGATCATATTGTACTGCAAACCTTTGTCGCTGAAATATGAGCTGTGGAACCAAGGAAATATGTGAATTTTAAAATCTAATCCTCTATCACTAAATGGCTACTAGCGTCGCTGATTGCTTACATCAAGTGATCGGTCTGCTCGTTGACCGCCCTGTACCGCAGAAAAATAAGATAATATTTGGTTGTGTGTAAATTCTATTAGCAACAATGGATTTTAAACTATCTCCTCATCAGTGGTCATTAATATATTACTGCTGTATCTCTTTTAGGGGGTTAACCAAGAACTTTGCAGTTTTCGTCACAAAGTTCATTTAATTCCAACGATGAATCTTACCAACGGCAAAATAATTACTTTCGCCGATGACACGGTTTTGCTTTTTTACGGGGACACATGGGACGAAGTGTTCAAGTGCGCTCAAAACGGTTTTGATTTGGTTTATAATTGGCTCAATAGGAATATTCTGACACTTAATATAGACAAAACAAAATACATGACTTTTACACTTAGCAGACAAGACCATCCGGCTCAGCCTATTTTCTCACACAATTGTAACTCTACTTCTAGCAACAATTCATGTAATTGCCCCCACTTATTAAAAACGACAGAAATAAAATATCTGGGAATCATAATTGATGATGAACTAAAATTTCACAAACATATTGATACTCTAACGTCTAGAATACGGAAGCTAATTTATATTTTCAAATCTCTTCGACACATTGCCGAAACTCCTTTAATAAGAATGGTATATCTTGCCCTGTGCCAATCTCTTATAACTTACTGCATAACTGCATGGGGTGGAGCTGCAAAAACAACCATAATAAAGTTAGAGCGAGCTCAGAGAGCTATTTTAAAGGTAAGCAGCTTTTTACCAATACTATATCCCACGTCTGAATTATACCAACACTGTGGGGTGCTAACAGTTCGACAGCTGTTTGTTCTAACTGTGGTATTAAAAAAAACACTCAGAATCAACATTTGATCGAAATATAACGGAAAATAAGAGGAGAAACGCAACGGTTTGCACGGTAACTAGATGTAGAGCAAGTCTTACACAACACTTTTACGGTTTCCTGGGTCCCTACCTATATAATAAGATTAACAAAGAATTATCAATATATACTCTAAATAAAGCACAGACCAAGAAAAAATTAAAAACTTGGCTTCAGGATCTTAAATACGAATCTACTGAATGCTTACTAAAACCAATAAAGTAAATAAGTAGCTTTGTTCTTGGAATAATCATATTTACTATTTCATATTGATCTCAACCTTATCATTAATTTGAATTGTGACACAAACATGGATCCACATACTTACACGGTCATCGTCCACATTCACCATACACTCATGAAAATAACCTAAGTACCAACGTTTTGTTTAAAATCTTTAATGTCGAATTTTTATTGTTTTAAATGTTTTTGCAAGTTCCTATTTTAGTATGAGATTTTAATTTCTAGTTTTAATTAATTTTGACTTTAACCTTTTCTTTTTCTGGATGTTCTTTAATTTTAAACTTTATTTATATTTTAATTTTTGTAATGTTTAACGATATGTATTAAGGCTAACGTTAGATAAATAGTTTTTTTTGTTTTAAACAAATATGTAATATCCTTAATTGTCTCAAATGTTGTAACGGTTAATTTATCTACTTTGATATTGTGCTTTAATTGTTGTACGTACCTGATGGTTGTAATAATAACACCTTAACCTTAATGTTTGTGCACGTACTACTTATGTACCAGTATTATTTCGATCTCAGTAACAAATTTTTATATATTTTATTATTAGATTAGAATTCAGTAAAAATTGTATCGCGTCAGTGGGATATGGCCTGGTGATCTGTGATACAGGGTTCACCTACAACAGACACCAGTCTCAGGTTTAGTTGTAAAACGTTTGCTATATTTTATTTTGTAAATGATGATGAGAGAAATAAATAAATTATTATTATTATATTATTATTAATTTTTTTTAAGGCAACTTATGTTATATTACGCCAACGTCACTCTAAAGTAAATAATCGACAAGGCTTACTCAATCAGGTATTTCTGTAGAGGCAGGCTCAAGTTCTTCCAGTTGATACCAGCGGCGTCCGTGGTCGCTCCGCCGAAACCTTCCACCCTCTGATACTTTACTTTGGGGTTCAAAATTAACGTTGGAATACATTCTGTATCTGGAATGGAATGAAATAAAATGTAAAGAACAAAGACTACGCGACCTGGGTGCTTACTCTTGAAACCAATCTCAATGTCAATGCAATTTCAATCCAATAAAATCTCAATAATTATTCAATGTCAAAACTATACAACCCTTATCGTAGCTGTTACAATAGCATTCAGAGTGCAGAATGTAAAGCCAAACTCAATACCATTTAGTTTATTAAATATGGATGCAATGGGCGCTAGTGTCACAACTCAAGAGTACGAAATTTCACAATACCAATGCCGATCGATCGGAATTGGATTCAAGAGTAAGCCTCCTGGTACAGGTTTTTTTGTAGGAATGGTGTTCCGCGTGTTTGAGATCCGGGTCCGAATGTAATGTAATGTAAAGACTATTTTTTTAACACATCCATGTCGATGATGTAGCATCAAATGATAAAATTTAACAACGATATAATACAATCCAAAAGAATGATTACACTAGAGTAAGCAGACCACAATGACTAAGGTGTACGTAGTATGTACGAAAAATATTGAAATTTTTCCATGTTCAAAAACTTCTACAATATAGTGTGTGATGATTTTAAGCATGTTTTAAACTTACCGGAATAATTTGCCTGTTTCAATTGTGCTCTGCTTTTGTTAAATCGTAATCCACTCTGAAAATAAATATTTAAATTAATAGCAGCCGAGACACTTCCAATTACATATCTCTAGGGCCTTTTTGGCAATGTTCAATACGTGTTAGATGTTTATGTCGGTAATAGCTAGGGAATGCAATCTCGACGTCGTTCATTAATTACATTAATCTCTCGGTCAAGAAATGGCCGCGAATTAACGAGATTACTTAACTGAAGCATTAATGTTTTTTTTGATGTACATTTTTTTATGGAATAAGAGGCAAACGGGCAGACGGATCACCTGATGGTAAGCGATCAGCGCCGCCCATGGACAACCGCAACATCAGAGGAGTCACAAGTGCGTTGCCCCCTTTTAAAAAGGAATACGCTCTTTTCTTGAAGGTTTGAAGGTCGTATCGGAAATACCGCCGACGATAGATCATTCCACAGTTTAAGAAGAGAATACTGGTTGTTTCTGTCCTTTGTTATTTGATAGTAATAGACGTCAAAGTAGAAGTAGTAAACTACTTAAAATTCAACTTCGAGATCTAGCGAGAATGTATTTGATGATCCCGTGAGATCTCCTTGCGAGATTTGCATCCCCTATTTAAAAGGCTTCACGATATGTTACTGCACCAGTATAAACTAAAAAAGGCAATCGCTACGCGTTGCGTGGCATGCTACGACCAACATAGAAAAGATACGCAACATGTTACGATATTTGTAACAAGTTTCATGTTGTCGTATCAAAATATTAACACATAGGTTAAACTATAGTTTTATAAATATGTTTAATATATGTTTACCTGTGAGCTGTAATACACAACGTACGTGTTGGGTACGAAAGGTTCCCTTGTTATAGTATCGCAGTATGTAGCGTTACACACACACACCACAGACTTGCCCGTTATTTTTCTAGCTGCACACGGGATGTCTGGAAACGAAAATATTTTTTAAAGAAAATATATTATGATATTATATAAAATATATTCGTCAATGGCAGCACCAACTATTTGTTTTAATTTGTAGAAGACCGTTTAAGGTTGACTAAGTACCCTGATAGTCACGACATCGACTAAATATTAATTTTTATGTTATTGTGCCATGCATGAAACTAGTCGAGTTCCTCATCAAACAGTTACGTGAGTAAACCGAAAACATATTATTTAATTTAAATGTCTCACGAACGTTAGATATAAGTAATATCGACAGAATATATGAATAGGGTAGTATCCTAGATTCTATGTCGCGGAGAACCTAACGGGTTACTGGGGCTCCGGCTCGACGTGCAGGAGAAGGAACGGGGTGGTTTTTAGTCAGTAAGAGTCTGACACTCCCTCCCGCCTCACTCAGGCGGGAGCAGTCATTCGATGATTTTTCCCCCTTAAAATTTATATTTTCTTTTCTTACAAAATTAAATACTTTCGACGACATATTGATTTGATATATCGTGTGACGTGAAATTTATGAGGAAGAACCCCTCTGTGGTTCGAAACTAGTAGAGCTTCTCTCAATATATTCACGTGAGTAACCCGCGATTTTTAGTTAATATCGTGTGACGTCACGATTTACTACATTTTATAGGGTTTCATCAAAGTGTTGTGTTTTTTTATAACAAAATAAAAAAATATGTGTCTAATACTTTTTAATTTATCTAACTGACGGACTAATTACATTTTTAATTTTCATACACTGACTACTGCCTACCCTATTAATTAACAATTGCCATGGTAAATCATTTATTTGTTTAATATTTTTTTTAATTTTCTGCGGTAATTCTTTGGCTACTTACCTATTCATTTTTGCATTTAATTAACAGGAAAATAAGATCTTTGTATCATGATTCAATTTGTAAAAACAAAATTTATATTGACTTAGCAACATAGTTTACAAATCGATTAGTTTTACCTACTTTTAACATTAATATCATACGTATAGGTACTCATTACTTATCATAAGATTTAGTCATACTTGCTCGACCATTGTTATCAAACAACGCCATGCGATAGCGATATATTCAATATTTATACAAAAATAAGATAAGTGACACTTGATTAATGAGTAGGTACAACAATTCATTTGTTTTATTCTCAGTTAAATTTTACTTTCATTGTATAGCGACTTTGCTAATTATCTCGGTCTATTTATTACAAGAGAAAGATTATTAATTCATTAACGGCGCCTGACAGAAAGCGATTGCAATTGTTATAAATAGCGAATTCTTATTTTTTAAATATGAATATTTAGAAATATTAAGTAGGCGCTTAAATAAAAAAAAAACATTAGTTAATACATAGGTACAGATAGACATTACTTAATCAACATTTTTAATGATACCTTAAATTCGATAGTCATTTGCATTTGGGTATCGTCACTATGTTACTAATAACAAAAATGAAGACCGGTTAGCTGCAGGAAGGAAAACATGAAACGATCGTCTATCAGTAATCAAGCCAATTTCAAATGAAAACAAAGTTAATAAACGTAAGTACTTACCGGCAAAACATGCACCAAAGAAACACACAACCAATACACCGAACAAAACACAAGCTTTATAAGCTGCCATTTTGAAATAAATAAAATTTAAAAAAAGAACTCCTCTACATGAGTTACCGGCCGGTATTAATTTCCCGGCTAAACACAAAATAGGTTTTATTTACGCCCGTGTGAGTTTTGGTTGCAACATGAATGGCGACTGAGGGCCGGACTCGTTCATTGATTGGTTAAACAGTTCTCAAGTTACCACAGAGGATTAATAAGTGTTGTTGTGGACATCGGAGCATGAATCAGACAGTAAACTACTTAACGATACGTATTATCAAACAAAAATACACATCTTATCTCGAAAAATCAGCTTAGTGAATCATTTGCTTGTAAAATCAACAAAACAGGTGTTCTGCAAACAAAGGGACCATGTTGGGTAGATAACTAGATAAAATGTAGATATTGTCTACTTATTTATTTTCATATATTTATTCGAAGGAGGACTACCACATCACAAACAAATAACATTTAAAATACACAAAAACTAATAACAAACAAAAAGTCAATACTAAAAAGCAAAAAATAACTATTATTAGTACTGATAGGTTAAACACCCACTGATAGGAAAGAAGTCGGTGCCATAAGTTCCATACAAAATTATTCATTAAAACCTTAATAGGTACCTAATTCACAATTTTGTGGGCATTAAGTTATATCATTATAATATGAGCTTATGGCACCGACTTCTAACCTATCAGTGGGTGGGTAACCTATCAGTACTAATAATAGTTATTTTTTGCTTTTTAGTATTGACTTTTTGTTTGTTATTAGTTTTTGGTTTTTTGAAGTCGGTTTTTTAAACGCAGTTTTTATTTTATTATTTTATCATTTTTAGTGTAAAGCTACATAATTATACCCGTTTTGTTACTTATAATCTACATAGGTGCAAAGTTCTAATCAATACAAATTATACAAGCCCGAACACAAGGTAGTTACTGTTTACCGTTAAGGAGTTCCCTTAACAATTACACTTCTTCATCATCAGACCCTTAATGACAGCTCCACTCTATCTAGGTGTAAAGTCCTCATCAATACAAATTAATCAAGCCCAAACACAAGGTAGTTACTGTATACCGTTAAGGAGTTGCTTTAACAATTACACTTCTTCATCATCAGATCCTTAATGACAGCCCTACTCTATTTAGGTGTAAAGTCCTCATCAATCCAAATTAATCAAGCCCAAACTCAAGGTAGTTAATATAAACCTCTGAGGAGTTCCCTCGACTGCTTGTCGGCTCCATCATCAGGTCAACTCCAGACCCTTATCAAATTGTAGTGTTTCAAAATCCTAATTGAAAAACATAATAGACGCATTACTTGCCCATAGAATTTTCGAAAGTTCCCCTCGGTTTACCTAGGATCCCATCATCAGATCCTGACCTCATGGAAATGGGACCATCTCGGGAGTATACCCTTTCAAACAAAACAAGAATTTTGGAAATCGGTTCACAAATGGCGGAGTACTGCGCGAACAAACAAAAAAAAAAAAAAAAAACAATCAGCCGAACATAGTACCTCCTCCTTTTTTTGAAGTCGGTAAAAAGTAACAAAATAATGGTCTGATGCATATAACAATAGTGGCGTACATAGCATTGGCAATTCATAGGCTTAACAATGGGTTAAAAATAAAATACTATTTGTTAATTACAGAAAAAATAAAATGACAACAAACAAAGATCCATACAATACATAGTTACCTTAAAATGAGAATTTAACAAGTTCAATTGTAAAGTAAAAGTATTTATCAATTCACAATTTATAATGTACAATTTTAAAATGTGATTGGTACTAATACGTGTACAACATACTTAAGTAGAGAACTGTCTTATCACAAGTATCGCACTATCGCTGATACAAATGCAGCATCGAATTGGATCCTGTATTACTTATTAAATCGTGTATTTTATACACTTTTCTACCTACCCCCACAATAATTAACCAGGGTAAAGTTATTTATAGAACATATTATTAATAAAGTCAGGATGTGGGTGTGGAAGTTGAACGGTCGGATACGGGGTGTTGGTCAAATTGATGTAATGTGTGTCGCCGGACAACGACCTGTGTCCGACTTCTATGTCCGGCCAACTAGCACTAGTGCAAACTACACTACTACAATCATATCATAGCACATAATGTATCTAACATCGCAAATAAAGAAAGCATACAGTACCTAAATAACAGTAAGAAATTTAGACTGATTCAATACAGAGTGTGTAGGTAATTAACTTAGATGTATAGGTATTCTTATTATATAAAGGTGAATACATTTTTGTTTGTTTGAACGCACTAATCTCTGTAACTTAACTGGTTCGAATTGAATAATTATTTTTATATTGGATTGTCCCTTGACTAGGAAGGCTATAAAAAATTAATGCTACGATCAATAATATCAAGTACTATAATAACCCTCGGTTTCACCCGCTCTGCTCAGCTCCTATTAATAAAATAATAAAGTAATAAAAATATATACATAATATTATTGTTTAAGTTCATTGTTTTAGTGGTTTGACTATACTAAAGTGAATTCATTCTGTGCGGGTAATTCATAAAAAGTTTGATATTGTGTACAGTATGTTTTTATTAGGTACCCTCCTGTCTCTCAAGGTTGTTTTATTGTATTGTCATACTCGTGCATTAGATATCAATGGTATTATAAAACATTACAAACTATAAATTGTAAATAATATATTGTATCAATTGGAAGGAACTAACATCTAAGGTAAGGCTCGGCCTAGTTTAGATGTTAGTATTCATAAACTGTGTGTCTAAGGTTTTTGTTACAATAAACACTTTTTATTATTATTATTTTATTAATAGGAGCTGAGCAGAGCGGGTGAAACCGAGGGTTATTATAGTACTTGATATTATTTTAGTGCCATATTACCAAAGTTAATAAGTTCAAAAACGTATATTTCTATTTTGGTAATATCTTAACAATAGTTATATAACATTTTTAAATAATTAAATGATTGTAACTTATAAATTGTAAGTATTGAAAATAACATACTTACGTAGAAATAATATAAATGATTCCTATTACCTACTTCGTAAGTAAAGTAATAAATTTTGCGGTGCCCAAAATTTATATTTATACAAAATTTATACAATTATAGAATTGTAACACATTTTGTCAAAAAATTGTAAACTATCCTATAGTGTGTATATACTATAGTGTATACACACACTATAGATACATTACAGTGATTTGGTTAGGGTGTACCATATACTCTCTCTGACTCTGCATTCCATACATTAATTAATATATCTATCTACACAAATAATATAAAAATGAATCGCTGAATGTATCGCTAAGCAGAAATCTCGAGAGCAGCCGAACCGATTTCACTAATTCCTTTTTTATTGTAGTAGCTGGGAGTAGTTTCATAATGTAAAAATGTTAGGCGAAACTAAGTTCGCGGGGTCCGCTAATATCAAATAAATAATATTTTTTCCTGTTTTTGCTGCTCTATATTATTCGGCGTAACATTTTTTAGCGTTACTAGAGTAGATAACTAAAAGAATAAATAACATATTGTTTATTTTGTTAGCACATATAATTAACTTATTGTTATTTTATTACTTTATCTTATCCCAGTACAAATTGTATCACTTTCAAAGAATAACAAACTTTGTATGCTTTAAAGAAGTGGCTTATTGTTCAATTAATTTAATTATAATTATAGTTACTAATGAAAACTGATAGCGATTTCTTAGATACCATTAGCCTGTTATTCTCGGAAGTAGGTCTACTACTTGCCAACATACTAGATGTCTACAAAGCCATCATCATCGATCGATTTCTTAAAATTTACCACGGAAACGGGAAAGAACAGAACAGTGACTTTATCTGTTATGTATGAAACTTACGGGACAAAATTATTTATAACAGAAGTTAAAACAAATAACTTATGAGGCCAAAATCAAACAAACATGTATTTCTACTTAGAATTTATTCACGGTGGATTTTTAACAACACAGTCCATTACTGATCTTAATATTAAGCTGGGTTCTTACTGACGAATTTTACGTACTGTAACGTGTTACACAGCGAGCGTTCTTGCAGTCAGTACGGGGAAACACGTTGCTCCCATCGAACGGCATGTAGCCAGTTGCAAGTGCTGTACTCCCCTCGCTGTAAATAAACTCAGTGGCCAGCAGGTCAACCTACTGCAATCTGAAAGCTTCTTCATCGAATTTTCGACTTTACATCAAAACTAAAAAGTAGAAAATGTAGTAAAGAAAGACGGAAAAGAATAGCTTGACTTGCTGGCCACTGTACATACTGCCTGTAAAACCGGTCGGTAGTCACACACCTTAAGATCAATTCACACCGAGACGTAACGTTACGCGTACACTTTAACAGAGTGACTCAAAAAACAACTTTATTTTCTACACGAAAAGATACACATTCCATTGTGAAGTTTTAGAACACGTTGCACCACGCAGCGCTGCGCCTCGCAACGACGCGACGTTGCAAAACTTCTCGCGGTGCAGCGTGACATCATTGGCCTTTTATCTAGTTTATTAGTATCGTCTCGTCGCGTCACGGTGTGATCAACCTTTATGAACTTATTCGTGGTATCCTCATTAAGTATCCTAATCATCTACATTCATTTCTATGTCATACTTATTCAACATCTCAACTGTAGTAATACTGTTGGCGTTAATCAATAACTGTGCCTCTTCATCTCCTAACCGCAATCTGACGGTTTCATTTGGACCTCTGAAAAAGAAAGTCTTTACTTAAATTAAGCAAAAATAATAATACTAATTTTTATGCTTTTAAATAGATATTAGTTTTTTGTAAGTAGAATTTAAAAATGTATTTTTAAAATAATGGAAATAATAAAAAAAAAATATTAATTTATTTCCCTCATCATCAAACTCAAACTCAAACTCAAAAGCATTAATTTCAATTAAACCATAATTTGGTACTTTTGAAACGTCAACACATAATTTATGCAATAGTATACAGCAAACAAAACTGAAACTGATGTAGTTAAAACCTATAGGTATCACTAGCCCAAAATACTAAACAATAAAAATACCTAAAGGTAACTGTTACAAATGCTCTAATAAAATAGCGCGCCAAAAGGCATCGTTCTGTTAAACATGCTCAAAAATGTTCAAAAATCGAACGCCTGTCGATAATTTGCAAGCAGGCCCGAAATGAGCATGCTAATTTTAAGCAACATTCCAACACACATACATTCTATTAAGTGATAAGTGCTCAATTGGGTACGTTCCTTAATCAAAAATAAATTATATCGACTGTTCAATACAATGAAATATTAAAAAATAGTCACACTACCATTAATTAATTTTATGATCAATTTGATTTTAATATTTTTCTAGCAATTTTTTAATAAATAAGTATGCTGTTTGACGCTAAAAAAACGTGACGTCACAATACACAATCTCGTACAAAATTCATAGAAAACTGTCGTTTTTGACTAGTTGGCAAGTTCTCATTGCATGCTTTCGTATTTGAAACTAGCATGTGTAACAATAGTTTGTAGCTGTAACACTTGTACTTACTCATTATGAATAACAACAACGACGGTGTTATGAGGTGTCAGGAAGGCAATGTTCTGAATTTTCGTACCACAATCAACATTCACTTTAATCCTTCTAGATCCTCGTGGAACAAACTTGGAGAAGTGTCCGATAGCGTAGAACATCGGCTGCTTGTAGAACTCTCCGTCCTCTGCATTGACCAGTATTGGGGAGTCCACACTGGAGTCTATATAGCTTGGCTTCCCTTCAGTATTCAGACACATGTTCCAATCTAACCATCCTATTACATCATTTCCAAGATTCTGTAAAGAAATATCAGACACGTCATAAAAAATGGATAGATAGTTGGACTGTTCCATATAATTTTTTTTTGGTTTTGAAAACATTACCCCACTTTAGGATTTTCTCCTGTGTCGTAGGTGCGTTTACAAACATACAAGTTCACATACACAATGATACCTACCCAGACCCGAAACAACCATTTGTGGATTACACAAAGAGTTGTTTCGTGCGGGAATCGAACCCGCGACACGTTGCACGGCAGCCGGTTGCCCAGCCACCGCACCAACCGTGCAGTCATATATTATATATTTCATGCTACATATATATTTCATATATATTTCATGCTACCACTAAAAATAACAGAACAATAATTTTCGTAAAATATAACACCTGTGAAACATGCATTACCATTGTTAATTAAGTCATGCTATGAACGTAAATAAACAATTGTAATACCTGCATGATATCGTTAACGTACAGCTGTGCTCTGCTCCACGATCCTATGTCAACTTTGACTGCGTCACTTGGAAGAGCACCTGTGAACATTAATTCAACAAATTACAATCTTTCCACAATGAATTGCAAGTATATATCGAATCCGAACATCTAACTAAATTTAGTGTAATATACAATTCGACTCCCGCTTGGGTCGAACAAAGTGATATTAGGGTGTATAGATTTTTCGAAAATGTCTTAGTAATAGCACAAAGTCTACAGTAGTGCCCGATCATATATCGGGCTCACCCGCCTCTATTTAGGACATAACATAACATCACGCCTTTTATCCCCGAAGGTGTAGGCAGAGGTGCATATTACGCCACTTAATGCCACTGTAACACCCGCCTTAGCCGACTCGGGAATCGAACCTGAGAGAGTCACTCGGCCAACGAAGCAGTCTATCTCTATTTAGAACTCATAATTTATATGAATCCCACCCTTTTAGGGATTCAAAGACAAAGTGCACCACGTCGTGTTGTTTTATTACCTGCACATATTTCTGTAGCCAGGACAAACTTCCCTGGGTATCCTTCCATCGCTTGCGACAATATCGCAGCTGGAACATAGGCGCTCATGTAGTAGTGCACAGCTGCACCATCCAAATACTCCAAGGTCTCTGGGTAGACGGCTACAAACTGTAAGTATAAACATTTTATTTATTTAATGTTAAATTATGTATGTATATGTAAAATATATATTAATTATATATGTATATATGTACGTATACACATTTTTTATGTTTTATTTGGAAAGGCTTCATGCACACAATGATTGTACAAGGTGGACTTAAAGCCATGGGCATTCTTCTCCAGCCAGACCTTTGGGTGATGCAGAGACAAAAACAATGGTCGATGCAAGAAGCAAACGTATCTATACAACCAAGAGAAATACATAAAAAAAGAATAGTATAGACTTACATAAAATAATTCCCTATATATACTTACATGTATATGACATAATAATAAACTTACGTAATTATATTACATACTAACGACCCGCCCTGGCTTCGCATGGGAACAATATGCTTATATTATACATATAACCTTCCTTAAGAATTTGTTTCGAAAAAAAAGACGACTTTGTTTTATAATACGTAATGATACTACTTATTCATATTACACATTCTCAATTCTAGGTCTCAATCATTATCATGCATGACTAGACTTTTTCATGTCTAACTATCACAACACCATCCATATGACATCTAGAACTGAAAAATTATAGTGAAGAATAATCTGTGAATTACAGACTAGCAAAACAGGCTTCAAATCATTTCAGGTAATTATTACTATGTATGTCTAAACTTACAGTGTTCCAGAATAGAGTAATGGTGAAACGCAAATCATCACCAGCGATGATCTTCACATGTTTGAAGTTAGAGTGGTTGCCTCGGAGAGTGGGACCCAAGTTCTTCATTATGTATTCGCTCTGAAAATAAGTGTCAAATAATTTAATGCAATGTAATGAGGAATAACCGTGGGAATAACAATGACACTAAACTCAAGACTGAGTTAAAGAAGACCAAAAGTACTGCTTACAAAGTTTTGATCTATAGATAGTTTAATGTGCTTTTCTGAGCACCTAAACAATGAAATATCAGTAAAATGTAGAGGTTTTTTCATTTTCTATACATTTAGTTTAGTCGTTATTTTTCATCAACAGCTTGTTCTCGTCCACTACTAGACATAGGTCTCTCAATGGCACGCCATTCAGCTCGATCTCCAGCTCTACGCATCCAACCACTACCAGCCACTTTGCAGATTTAATGTAGTGTTAGCTTGGAAGTATAGATAAAATGCAGTGAGGTACTACCATGTCATCTAGAGTCCACCCCATATTGTTGATTTTAGCGGGGATGTAGTTGACACTAGAGTGTAGGGGCTCGTTTGAAATAGACATTCCCCACACTGGAATACCTTCGGCTGCATAGTGCTCCAAGAACCTGAAAAAGAACAATTGTAAATTGTATATTATCGCGATTTACGGGAATATAAGCCTTAAGTATACCTTAAAATAACCTCATATTTTCCAATGTTATTCCGCTTAAAAATGCTTACTTGTAATGGTAATCAGCATAAGTCTGTCGATATTCTTTCCGCAGCTTGCTGTGCCCGGAGTACGCGTCGTTGGTCTTCATCCATATCGGAGGAGACCAAGTCGCTGACACTATGTGAATGGGCGCACTAGCTGCCTTCATACACGCTTTTATCATCGGAATCTAAAGAAGAAACCAAATATTTTAATATTCATTGTCACAATTCCAAATTGGACCCATTGTAGAGCCCTGTGGTACACCCGATCGATTATGCCAATTATTGTGCTATAAATTATTTTTTTCTCTGATAACAAATAAATAAATTATTGTTTTTAGGTATTTCGGAACTATAAACTTTAGGCTTTTAACCAATAGGCTACGTCAGCCCCATCGTAGCCCATCAAAAGAGTTATCGCTGGCAAAAACTTAAGACTATTCTAAAAATGAAGAAATTTTATACATATATTATATATATATATATATGTTAGGAAGACACCAACATATGGTGTCTTCCTAACACATTTTCATAATAATAATCAAGTAGCCGTTTCACACAGAAACGGCTAGTTGATATATGACTGTCGTAGAATGCATTCGGCACGGTATTGATAACATGTGTTCGTTTTTACCTTGTACTCGTAATCTTCATAAGCCAATGTAAAGTTGCTCAACGTCACATCGTTTTCAGGGAGTTCGTTATACGCGTACCCGTGTGTAGAGAAGTCTGTGCCACCAATTGGGACACGCAGCATGTTGTATTGAATTCCTGAATCACCACAATAGGATCTAGAAGTGATCAAACATCTTTGATAGATTGCTTTTAGCACATTTAATCTAACGTTACTAAACAAAAGACTTATATATAAAATATAAAATCTTATAATTGGAAACAAACAATCTGGAGCATCAATGTATTTTGCTTTTGGTTATGAGAATAGAACATCTTTGTCCGAAGTATAGAACAGTTAAAATCTGATATAGTATAGATTAGCATACAAAAATGTACCTATATTGATGTTTAATTGTAATAATAGTCTTCTATAACGTCTTACTCTATTAAATGGTCCATCAGTCGATGATCAGTCAAGTTCTTCCAGTTGATGCTGGCTGCATCGGTGACGGCGCCTCCGAAACCATTCACCGTCTGGTATTGCGTTCCCACGTCTAATTCCAGAACATTCTTGTAGATACTACCTGCATTTAGAGTTACTTAGGTATTAGAAATTACCAAATTTGACGCCTAAAATGATACTTATCTCAGTATTTTATGTAAGTTTATTATAAGACTTTTACCTTTTGTATATTTTGTCACCGAGCCTACAGTCTTATGGAATCGAAGTCCCTCCTGAAAATTAAATTAACGCAAGTTGGAGATGTGCGTATTTAGAGTTATATGAGAAACTTTGGTGTAAGATTTGGTTATCGAAAGTGATATGATTAGAACCGTTATATGTATAAATGTTGTACTGAAATGTCTGGTGTCACGTTGTAAGGTTAATTAATTGGTACAAAATAATAAAAAAATAAATAAAAACAAAAATAAAATAAAATAAATACCTCAGAAGATACATAGGACACGAAGGTTCCACTCTCTGGAGGTTTTCTAGTGATGGTGTCGCAGTACTCTGCTGTGCACACACACACCTGCCCGCTCTTCACTTGCCGTACTGCACAGGGCCGGTCTGAAATATTGAAAACAACAAACATACATTTATTCATGCATTTTTCTATGGGGCAGCCTCATGCGTATGTGTTTCATGTGGCTTGAGATATACGATCACTAAGTACAATCATTACTTTCAATATATTCCATTTTCAATTTATGGAAATTTTCAATTTATGGAAATTGAAAATGGAATATATGCCAAAAGTGTAAATGATTTTTTTTATGAGAACCAAGTTGCGAGACCAACCATTTTTAACCGACATCAAAAAAATTGACATAACATAACATCACGCCTTTTATCCCCGAAGGGGTAGGCAGAGATGCACTTTATGCCACTGTACAATGTAACACCCACTTTTCATTATTTATGTTATGAGTCCCATATAACAGGGGGTGAGCCTATTGCCATATGTCGGGCACAATTCCAGACTCCGTGCTACTACTGAGATTTTTTTTAAAAGCCAGTAATACTTTGCCCGACCCGGAAATCGAACCCGAGACACTTGCCCGGCAGTCGCACTTGCGACCACTCGGCCAACGAGGCAGTCAAAAAGTTGACCTGTATGTACTTATTCATGTATGTTTGTGAGCAAATATTTCGCGATTGGCTGAACCAATTGTGATATGGTTTCCAGAGAAGTGTAACACTTAGAGATAATGTATAATAATTAATCGACTTCAAAAAAGAGGGGCTTGAAATTTAATTTTTTAAACGTTTTTTATAAAAGTTTTTATATGTCCCATAAAAACTTAGTCTAGCTTAGTCCACTTCACATTTGACGACTACTGCAACTTATGCCTTGTTCACACTACGCTAGTATTTTGGTCGAGTAGCGGATATTCAGTACTTCTCTCTCGCTTCTGTCCCAAAATGGAAGCGGACTGAACTACTAAATATTCGCAATTCGACTAAAATACTACCGTCGTGCGAACAAGACATTAGGATCTTTTATCTATACTATACCAACACATTAGAGATTGTACGGAGATAAATAAACAGCACTCTCTAATCGCAAAAAGACATATACTCGTAAGTAGGTACGTACATACTTAATTATATACTTATACATATTTATCAATAACCAGCTGACCCGTTGGACTTCGTACCTCCTAGATTCAACAAAAGTAAGTAACATTAATTGTTTACTTGACATTTTCCTTTGTTTTAATAGTCATTCTGTTATTTGAGCGTTAAATAGAACAGGAATAGTCATAAAATGAGTCAGCCGTTGCCCGTTGTTATACATATTCAAATTGATAAATAAATAATAATAATGAATAAAGTACGTAACAACACGGTTTTAATTTTACATGTAAGTCGAGTCATGTAATATCGTACCTTTGGTCTTGAATTTACGTCACATTATAGAAATAAGAATTAATATTAATTATTATTATTAATTCCGGATTTCTGACGATTCCACAGGCATTTACGAATGCAGCTTTTTTGAAAGTTATGTATAATTTTTCTTTGAGAATATGCAAAAGATGGTTTGGTATTACACATATTATTATTATTGTTTACCCATTCTGAGAGTTTTTTTGGATAGCCTATAGAATACTACCAACAGCTTCCTAATTAATAGGAAAAAAGACCGATCATATTATATAACAATTTTTATTTTAATTATGAAGTATGGGTTAAAAGGTAGGTTGAATTGAGTTTTATACAAAATTATTCATTAAAACGTTAATAATATTACCTAACGTACCTAATTCACAATTTTGTGGGCATTAAGTTATATCATTATGATATGAGTTTATGGCACCGACTTCTAACCTATCAGTGGGTGGGTAACATATCAGTACTAATAATAGTTATTTTTTGCTTTTTAGTTTTGATTTTTTGTTTGTTATTAGTTTATGGGTTTTTGAAGTCGGTTTTTTAAACGCAGTTTTTATTTTATTATTTTATCATTTTCAGTGTAAAGCTACATATACCCGTTTTGTTACTTATAGTCTACATAGGTGCAAAGTTCTAATTAATACAAATTATACAAGCCCAAACACAAGGTAGTTACAGTATGAGTTCCCTTAACAATACACTTCTTCATCATCAGACCCTTAATGACAGCCCCACTCAATCGAGGTGTAAAGTCCTCATCAATACAAATTAATCAAGCCCAAACACAAGGTAATTAATATAAACCGCTGAGGAGTTCCCTCGACTGTCTGTCGGCTCCATCATCAGGTCTACTCCAGACCCTTAACAAATTGTAGTGTTTAAAAATCGTAATTGAAAAATATAATAGGCATTACTCGCCCATAGAATTTTCGAAAGTTACCCTCGGTTTCCCTAGGATCCCATCATCAGATCCTGACCTCACAGAAAAGGGACCATCTCGGGAGTATACCCTTTCAAACAAAACAAGAATTTTGGAAATCAGTTCGGCGGAGTACTGCGCGAACAAACAAACAAAAAAAAACTATCAGCCGAACATAGTACGTATACGTATACGTAGTATGAAGTCGGTACAAATTGTCTGTCAGTAAGTCCGTCAGTGAAGCTTTCGAATGGAAAAGTACGAACAAGAAACTCCATTCGTTACTCTTTTTAAAAAAATATGTTCTACAATGTCTCTGATACATATTCCAATACTGTACGTATATGTGAGAACAATGCAAAGACACGCTTGTCGCATTATACTAATTACAAAACTTACTAAAATAAAAAACATAAAAAAATCTTATAGTCTAACATGGTGCTCATATATGCATACTGACAATCTATAAAAAAAGTGCTCCTATTCAAGAAAAGTAAACTCTTTGTTTCAATAAAGAAAGAAATGCTTGATTCCATAAGGAAACTAGATTGTTTACATTAGAATGAAAGTATTAGATTACCCACTATTAGAATCGAACTACTCGCTACATTTGAGTATTGTCCAGTGGAGCCGAACCAACATGCTGCCAAGCATTCGTATCCTCAAGATAATCTGTCAGTTTGTACTTTGTAGTAAGCTTGATTACATAATTCGCGCTTAAAAACGATACTTTTCTATGAATTTTGTATTGGATCGCAACTTATGACGTCATCATATTTCTGCGTTAAATAGCATACCAGAGCGGAGAGTATGATATTTTTTAATTATTTGTTGCATTGAAAAGTTGAAACAATTTATTTTAGACCTAGGAAACTAGCCAAATGGGTACTTGCCAACTAGTCAAAAACGTCAGTTTTCTATGAATTGTGTATTGTGACGTCACGTTTTAGTGTCAAACAGCATACTTATTTATTAAACTGTCAAACACCAAGCGGTCACCGGTGACCGCAACCTATTGTTCTATAATTGTGTCTACAAAACCGGTACTCGACGAGTTAAATATTTGCTGGAAAAATCTTCGATCAACAATAACAACTATCGTTGATCGAAGGGAAAAATACTAAAATTAAGTTGTTCATAAAACATAAAAAAGTACCTATAATCTAAAAATAGTTTTCCTAGTCCTAAGTCTAGATGTGGCAAATGTTTAATGTATATCTATCATGTGTTAGTATATGTGCTGTAAACATAGGCATGATACATTCTAAGATTAAAGGAAACAACAACCTGTAAACTTTTAATTATAAATCATTACAAGATTAACATTATTTATAATATTCATTTACCACAGTAAGACTATTATTATTATAGACACTAAAGTCAAAGTCAAAGTCAAAATTATTTATATCATTCAGATAGGTACTTATTTAATACTTATTTTATTTTTACCTGGTTTCGCTACAAATTAAAGCCGATACAGTCGTTATTGTGTACAAACAAAATATGGCGTAATATCAGACTAAAGATGTTCGCTGCTTACAGTTAGGCCTACCCTAATGACTCCCAGATCAGTAGGTTATATGAATATCAGAGTAATACTGGGCTTTTTAAAAATTCTCAGTAGTAGTACGGAGACTAGAATTATTACATGGAACTCATAACGCAAATAGTGAAAAGTGAGTATTACATTGTACAGTGGTATTAAGTGCCGTAATGTGCACCTCTGCCTACCCCTAGGGGGATAAAAAGGCGCGATATTATGTTATATGTAGTAACACGCTATGGTATATATAGTACTAGCTTCTGCCCGCGACTTCGTAGTTCGTACGCACAATCCCGTTTTCCCCCTTTTCCATAAGTCGTAAGAACCTTCTCCTGACAATAACAAACACAACAAAAAAAGATCAGCCAAATCGGTCTAGCCGTTCTCAAGTTATGGCGTAACAACGGGAAACGGGTTTTATTTTATTTTTTTTGATAGATGTAGTAACGTCTGTGACATGGCACAAAAAATATATCGATCGTATGTTTTATTATATATTATGTCGCTTAGGATAAGGATCCTTTGTTTGTTTTTGTTTCTGGACTTTGATTTCCATGAGCTTATGTGTAGTTAGTTATTTTACCAAAATCTAAATAGTAATTTTGCGTTATATTCCTAAATTCAGACTGATAATTTAATTGACATACTTTTTGTATATTTACTTTACAAACTCTACTTTTAAAACAAATTACCATAATCAATTAATTATGTGCAATAAAATAAAAATTCTGTTTCTGTGCCACAAAACAATCGTTAGCATTCAATTTTGTGTTCCATTTTACTACAAAAATTGCATTTTCAATGAAGTAGGTTGATAAAATTAACACCTGAATGTGTTGCTAAGAGAAAATCTCATTAGTTAGCTAATTCTGGGTTTGTTATTGCTAGTACAAGGATCTTAATTTATACCTAAGAAAAAATAACAAAAATGCACAGAACATTTTCTAAGGCGAAATAAAGGTTACCAGTTCGATCGATTTAATAAAATTATTAATAATTCTGAGACATTTCCTTACCAATAAGGTCCGCAGCTACGGCGGGCCATATTGTTAAAACGGTGAGCACAATCGGCCAGTATTTTCGGAGCTCCATCACAAAATATTCATGAGATGTGATGCGTCGTTAAACAATATCACTTGAATGATAAAAAAGAACACAAAACTATTAACTACATTTTATTTTCAACTTTTTAGAGTTCCGCACTACAAAGGTTCAAATTCGACCATTGTTCAGTGTAGAAATAATCTTTCTAAAAGATGCACTCGGCCAACGCCATACTACTTATTATATATGTATTGATTGTGTTGTCCAACAGCTCGATAGATGGCGTTGGCCGATTTAAAAGTAAATTATAGTTACGTTACCGGCAAAAGATTAGGTTGTTTGCTTTGACACAAATAAATTGTCTCGCTCTGAGGTACCTTTGTTTCATTCACGTGCCAAGGGGCCAAGGCTTCCAAAGGATCTTATGTCGATCATGTTAATGATCCAGTCGAGCCGAAGGGCGTTTTTGGAAGAACACAAATAATCAAGAATAGTTGTGCTAATTAATACTAGATGGTGTTAATAGTCGGTGAACCATAATTCATAAGGAAAATTACGTGCAGAACTGCCGAGGACATCGGGAATTATCGCTGAACTTCTTTTGGAGCTCGTGAGTACTGATTTAGTGAAGTGAGTAGGACCCACTCTTCAGGCAGATATGCGACATATTGTCATGAGATGGCATCAACATCCGATCTGTCTGGCTTCCGATATTGTCAAAATGTATCACCAAATCAAGGTCGCTCCACCTGATACAGGTTACCAAAGAATTGTTTGGAGAGAAAATCCAAACAAAGAGATCGAGGATTACCGACTTCTGACTGTCACCTTTGGTACGTCATGCGCTCCTTACTTAACGTAAAGTCATTACCATTGCAGCAAGTTGCGTGCGATGAAGGTGAGAGGTATCCAATGACTGCTGAAAGGGTGAAGTCAGGCTTCTATATGGACGAACTGATGACTGGGTGTCAATCTGAAATAGAGGTAAAAATAATTTATGAAGCGGAAAGCGAAAGCGGGGTTCCAATTGCAAAAGTGGACAAGCAATAGACCATCCATTTTGGAAACGTTGAAGGAAACTTCTGGTAGAGACCTGGAAATAAAAATGGATAGTATAACTAAGATTTTAGGACTTACCTGGAACCGGAACGCTGATGAATTTGATTATTCTGTGAAGATGTCACCTCCGGTTGCACCTGAAAAATAAAGAGTCCATTAGAAAAATCGAGTTCTTTATATAAGTTAAATGTGTTTATCGACCAATGTGGGATATTGCGAGTTGGAGGAACGCTACGGTATTCACCATTACTGGATGATACAATGCACCCAGTTGTTATTCCTCATGAATCAAGTTTGGCCAAGTTAATTGTAGTCGACGCTCATGGAAAGACTTTTCATGTAGGACAGCAACTGGGTCTCAATTTTATACGCATCAAGTACTGGACCAGTCGGGTTAAAAATATTGTACGAACTCATATACGTCGTTGTGTTCCCTGTATTCGATACGCGGCGACCACGAATCAACAGCTTATGGGAGAGCTTCTGGCTTGCAGAGTGACTCCCAGAAAGCCGTTTCTAAACTCCGGTGTTGTGATTATGCAGGATCTATTCCCATTAGAGTCTCTAAGGGTCGTGGACAGCGGTCGTATAAGGGATATATCTGTTTGGTCGTGTATATGGCTACGCGCGCAGTACACGTAGAGGTTGTTTCATATTTGACGACTGATAGTTTCCTGGCAGCGTCCAAATGGTTCGTTTCCAGGCACGGTCAGTGTCGTCATCTCTGGAGAAATATCATCGAAAGAAATATTATCATCAAATATCGTCATCTATAAATTTTGTGGGTGCTGCTAAAGAGTTGCAGATGCTTTTCAACCAAGAGAGTTCGATGTACAAAGACATTGCAGCTGCTCTTGCAAACTCTGAAAGTGTAAAACACTACTTGTAGCGCGTGATAGATTACTCCACTTTAACGTTCGAAGAACTGTCCACAGTACTTTCCCAAATCGACGCATGCCTACACTCTAGACCCCTGTCTCAGGGTAGTAGTGATACAGAGGATCTTGTACCTCTGACTCCGGGCCATTTCTTGGTGGGTCATTCATTGGTAATGGTTCCTGACTACAACTAAGAAAGTGCCACAGTTAGCACTTTACGTAGATAGCAATTAGTACAGCGCATGGTGCAGCACTTTTGGCGTAAATGGAAACAGGAGTATTTAACTAACTTTTTTCAGACATAAGTGGAATGTTCGTAAACCTAAATGTAAAATAGGCGATGTAGTTTAATAAAAGAAGATATCTTACCTCCAGCTAAGTGGTTGTAGTTCAGAATTGTAGAGCTGCATCTGGGTAGAAATAACTTGGCGCGAGTTGTCACTGTTCGTTGTAAGGGCTCTATGTTAAACGTACAATTTCAAAATTGTGTTTGCTTCCTGTTACTGAATAAGGCAAAATCTTGTAAAAGATTTAACTGTTTAAGTTGCGTATGTTTTTAGATAAAGTATTTTTTGGGTTATATTCTTATATTGCACAGTTGAATTAACAAAGTCTCCTACTCTTGTGCACTATTATAATCATATATGAATACAATGTTTAGTTAGTAGTTTAGTTATATTGTTTTTGTAAGAATTTTGTCAGCCTAATGTTTTTGCCGGTGACCAATTCGCACTTGACTGGTTATATTATAAAATATCTACTATTTGACCTTTAATTTGAATGTGAATGTTCTTTTATCATCTACCTACATCCAATATTAAATCTTTTGTTCTTTTTTCGGTGACATTAAAGCAGTATACACAGCAGAGAATAGTAATATCATTTATCGTTGTCATTTTTTATCTTTTTTTATTAAAATCTTTATATCACAGGGCTGATCGAGATTAATACCTTGTTGTCTGCAACAAATTCTATCAGCGTAGCAAAATATTAAATTATTTCTCCGTTATTTTAAATTTTGTGATAGATATTAAAAAGAACATCCTAAGTTATTAATGTTCCTAAAATGAAGAAAAACATGTCATATTTGTTTCCCGTAAACATGAACTCTACCCCACCCTAGGATTTTGTAATGAAAATATAACATCCACCTCTCTACAGTTAACTATGACCTCCTTATTTAATAAACATTTCATACATACCGTACTGTGCTACGTGCTTCGCTAATAAAAATCTATTTCTAGGAAATGTTGTCTGTTAGATAAATTGTTATCAGAATTATATGATGTTATATGTGCGTTATATTTATCTAAGACCATCACTATCAGTTTATTTACGCGTCTATGTTTAAACTGTCAAACACCAAGCGGTCACCAGTGACCGCAACCTATTGTTCTATAATTGTGTCTACAAAACTGGTACTCGACGAGTTAAAAGGGCATTTAGTTTTAGAATAAGTATTTAGAAAATTTGATGGTCCTACAAATAAAGTAGTAAAACGCTCTGATACGAGGTATCTAACAGAAACATACTATCTTGCGTGGAAGCACGACGTAGAGCTCAGCTTAATTAACCAAACGATTTCTTTTTCCTTCTTGTCTTCTTCCTTCCTTCTTGTCTACAAATGCGCCTTTGACAGGGAGTAAATCAAACGCGACTACATTACAAGAAGTAAGAATTCGAGACGAAATACAAATGCATGAGGAAGTCAAAGGTCTGGGGACATACTTTTCGTACGTGGATACAGACGAAGTACAACAATCTTCAAATATTGTAACAATGCCAGCAACGTTCGGCGGTGATTACTTGATAAATATCTATTCAATCTACACTTTCCTCATTTACACTTGAAGCTACTTACCCACAGGTATATTAAAATATTTCTGTGTTCTTACCTAAGTGAATTTGAACATTTAAGAATTTTTAAACGTTTATGTTTCAGTGTGCAGAAGAATGCGACTCTAGCTCGACGCATATTTGCAGTGTGTGCCAGCCCTAGGAGAAGTTGCTCCTGCTGTGGATAGATGCCGCGATATTATAGCACTACCTGGGTCGCACTCTCATATAGGTACCTACTCAACTACACCGTACCTTGGTACTTTACAATCCTCATTACAGGAACCAATTGTATTAAAGTATTTTTCTATCACATGGTATCTTCTACTGTCTTTCAAATGGTTCCAGTTTATTATCATGAAATAATTTTATTTACAATGTAATAAAAATAATTTTGAAAAACTGTTTTTATTTTTTACAAACAAATTTTCACAAACTTCTTACGCTGATAGATATATATTATATATAGTTTCATTTATTTTGTATATGATCATGACATGACGATCAGTGACTTCAGATACAGAACTCTCATTTTCGGTATACTTGATTTTTTTTCTCGAAAACTTTATAAATATTGTTCTTCAATAGCCATTCGTCGTCAGTTTCTTTGCTCATATCCCTGACAGTATCATTCAGGTCATCCTCTTCGTGTATGGCTCTAAATTTAACTAGTGTTCTGTTATCATGCCTCAATGCATCATACAGATTGTTCCTCAAATGGTCTTCTTCATCACTGTAACTTGTATCTTCTGTTATCTTTTGAAGCAAATTATTATGTTCTGTAGAATTATTGGAGTAACCAGACATATCGTACATTTCTTCATCGGAAGATGGTATGTTGAATCTCCTAAAGTTTTGAGTCTCTTGCTTCTTTCTAAAATAGCTTATTGCAAGTTGTTTCAAATATTCCGGACTAAGGCCGGAAACAAGTTTTTTGGCGGCGGCAGTAGCAGTAGTTTTAGTAGTAGGAGTAGTAGAAGAAGTTGTAGCATTAGCGACGGTGGGTGTAGTACTAAGGCTTGTCGTAGAATGATGATGGCGTTGTTTCCGTTTCCGATTTCTTCGATGCTTGCGTCGCTCACGTCGATGCTTGCGTCTTTTCATTCGGTTTCGTTTTTTGATTTGATGCATAACTTTTTTTCTAATAGAAGATACATCATTGACATGATGTTCATGATAAAATGCGCTTTCCATACTTTCACGGTCAGGTTCATTGCTACTAACTGAAAGTGCTCTTTGTCTAAAACGATGACTTGAATATTTTTTTGATCTAGTTTCGTCATAATTGTGATAGTCTCGTGAATCCCGACGATGTCTTCTTATCCTTTCTTTATGATGTTCATTTAATTTCTTTAGTATTCTGGGATGTTTATGTAATAGGTGTTGGACAATTTTTTTGTAGTTCATACTTCTTCTTTCTGGTCTGTCAGTTAAGTTGGAACC